CCTACATCAACTTGCCACTATCCAACGTTTCCTTCATCTAGCCAAATTTATTCCAAATTTTATACCCCATGTCACTGAGGAAAACTAGATTCTAGGAAAGGCTGATATGAAAAAAAACCCTCCAGAAGATCCCAACAGGACATAGTACGTTTGAGCTGCTGGTGAGCTGGAGAAAACTTAAAATTGTCTGATACGATTTTTTCTCATTCACTGTAGCAGATGATTGAACATGGTCAAGTACTTGGAATAGCAAAGAAAGAATCAGAGTGCCTTTTATCCATAGACTAAGTTGCTAACCACATCTGCATGTTATTTTGGGACAAACCCCTAAACTGCTTTTGCAAATAGACTCCATATTCATCCAACTACATGGACAGAGTTGGTTCAGCACGGTGATAAGCCATCTGGGCAGCCCAACAAGAGGCTTCCTCCATGCCCTCTGGAAGGACAGAAGATGGGTGGCTCAGGACTACTCATTTGGAGTAGACGTAGGTACTCGATCTTGCTGGGATTCAGCTCGCTCATTTGTAGCAACTGCCTAAGGATATGTGGGCACTTCAAGAGTATGGGATTTAAAAGTTAATTCTTGTGAATAAAAAAATTTAGAACGGTGAATCTGCAGTACTGTCAGCCACACTCCAAAATCTACTGGAATTGGTGGGAGAATCAAATCTTTTACTTGGTCTATAGCTACCTCTGTTAGACTTGAGACACAGATATGCTTAGACAACTGCCGTTGACCAGGGTATGCAGATTAATCAATGCTTGCAACAACTAAGTTGAACTGACAGGCTCCTCTTCCCCTGTGTGCTTTGTGAACTAGAACAACAAAAGTTCCCCCATCTCATCTCATCCGCAGTCTTGCCCAAAGGTTTCTCTTCTTTCCTCCAAGGCCCTTCTGTATTTGTCCCACAGAAACAAACTCCCAGATGAATTCTGAGGGACCTGATCCTATGTGAAAACGTCAATTTAAAACTGCTCTCTCACTTGCCATTCTTGGCAAGCGCCCAGATATGAACCACATGTCTGGTGGAGGAATTTGGTCCACAGACTGTTTTTAATTAAATGCTTGTCTACTGATATCAAACTGAACTTCAGTGGCATAAGAATGCTGCAAAAATGATTCATCCTAAATGAAATTATTTCCTATGTAATTTACCAAGTTTATTTCTTCAAACTGGAAGAATTCCATATGTGTTAAAACGACAACCACTTAAACATTTAAAGTTGAAAAAATGCCAGATGATAGAAAATAGTCAGAGATAAATCCTCATATTTCATTTTTGAGAATAATATTCAAAAGGAAAAAAAAAAACTTGTTGAGATACTTTATTAACAACTAAGCTAACTCCAGCTACCAGCAGGTCTGTTCTTGTAAAATTATAAACCCATTATCTTTGTAGGCATATGAGAGAAGAAATCAGGCCTGAAATCAGTATTTGAAAGGATGCAAAATAGTAAACACCACTTATAAAATTTTATATTCACTTAAATCCGAACAGTATGAAACCTATCCACTTTTCTTATGTAGCAGAAACGACTGCAAATCCTTTTGTTGAAAATCCATTACTTGAACTCTAATTTTACTGGCTAACAAAGCAATTAATTCATCTGTCCAGATGGCTATTACTTCACTGTGTAACATAACTACTGGTACTTTTGCTGCAGAGGCAGCAAAAAAAATCAAAAGGAGACTCATGCACCCACTCCCCATGCTCACACTATCTGCTAAAGCAGTCTTCAACTAGCTATATTTCATCTTAAATATTGAGAAGTTCAAGGCAATTATTTTACAGCTATTCTAAATCTAAAACACAAACCACCTTCTTTTAGAATAATATACAGCAAGCTTCTCCCTAATTATCAATCTCACTGTTTCTAGATTCATGCTTTAAACTACAGGAACAAACAAGAGCATTCCCTGTCACCAAAACATCGCTGTCTAAAGAGATGCTTTAAATCATTCCTGTTCAAAAATGAGGTATCTAATCTTTGAGAAAACCAGCACACTAAAAGGGGATGAGCAGGTTAAAACTTAAATTTACATGAATATATATTTTACTGCAAAAAAGTAAAGTATATAACAAGACATGCCTAACTACTGTAGGTATGTTTTTAAATATCCTTCACTCAGATTAAACTCTGTTAAAATGTGCATAGACCAAGGCATTAGAAAAATTAAAGAGACTTCTTATTTTATTATTTTTGTAAAAACAATCTTGAAAATTTTATATTGTCTAGATTTACAAAGTCCTGTAACTTGTTCATCAGTACTTATGTGGGTGGATTATTCATTGCTGCATGCATGTACTGCATGATGCAGATCACTGCAAGTGACCTGCAGTTCAGTCAATACTGTTGTTCATCACTTAAAATTCTCAAATTTAGTTCCCTTCCCCCACAAGAAAAATATATAAAAGTTAAAATTAAGGCCAATGTTAAAGAGCACATCTTGTCTCCCAGCTCTAATAACTGCAGGATACTTTCCATACAGGAGACCTTTCATCTGGATTTTCTTAATTAACTCGGAGAAACTAGAAACAGATTTTATTAGTATACAGCCTTAATTCTCAACACCTTTAGCCTGTGAAAAGGAAGTTTACAAATAATTGACATCTCTCTCCTTCTGCACACATGCCACGATCTTGCTACTCTACGTACAGAACAGAAGACAATCAGCCTGGACCACAGTTAGTCCCATCATTATCTATGTCAGGGGATGAAAAATGTATGAGGTGGCACTCTTAAAAAAAAAAGCCTAAGACAGACTAATTGGATCCTGTACAGATAAAGATTTTTCATGATCAAAGCAAAAAATAAAATCAAACAGCCACCATCTCCAAACCCCCTACCAAAAGTCACCCATAACAGAACTTTGATGTCTCTGTGAATAATTCCACTGAAAGAAGAAGGGGAAAAAATCTCTGGCAATTAATCTTTATACCACACTGATAAAGAATAGAAAGGATTGCCTTGCAAGTAATACGCATACCACTCTTCATTAGAGCTGTTTCAATCTCAGTTTTTTACACTGGAATTATATCTTTCATCTTGTTCTCTTTCTTGGCCAAGGAAGAGTTTGGAGTATCAAAATCTCCATCACCAAATCAGCATGTTGAACCCAATGAAGAAAAAGCCAATACTGTCATTGTTCCTGTATACATGCCTAATTTGTATCTTCAGTTCATCAGTTAAGATTATAAAATGGGTTATGAAGATGAGTAGACCAAACACATTCTTGCTATGACAAGATTTTCCAGCATATTTCAAGATTTCAACAAGTCTTGGTCTTGAATATCAAGCTGCCTGCATTTGGCTATAAGTTTAATTTTTTTCTCCTAACTCTGTTGAGGCACTCATAAGTTGCTCTCCTTATATGGGAGAGAAAAAAAATTGTAATAAACGTACAAAAGAGCACAACGTACCTTAATTTCATCTGTTTGTTTTGCCAAAATAACTAGTCAAGTGTCAAAGAAGCTACAATATATACCTAAAATATGACTTCATACAAAGAATAGGTGAGTGTATAAAGTCTTACAAAGCTACCTAAATCAGTAATAGTTTCCTCTCCTCCTGCCTTTCAGAGGAGATGCATTACTAGAGCACAATGTACCTTAATTTCATCTTTGTTTGTTTTGCCAAAATAACTAGTCAAGTGTCAAAGAAGCTACAATATATACCTAAAATATGACTTCATACAAAGAATAGGTGAGTGTATAAAGTCTTACAAAGCTACCTAAATCAGTAATAGTTTCCTCTCCTCCTGCCTTTCAGAGGAGATGCATTACTCTTAAACTTCACTGAGACTTATCCTTATTATTATATTTCTAGCATCCCTTCCCTCTGGCTGGTCAGTACAATGACAACATTTGAAATAGCCCATGCGCTGAAATTACCAGCCACTCTTCACGAGCCCCAGAAGATGCAATCACTCTAATGAGCAATCACAGTATCCACTGGTCTCATATGCCTCTGTCCCTAGCAGCTGAAGACCTGCACACCATCTTCATCACTGAGGCCAACAGACACATCCTCCTCTACCTCCTCATCAAGCTGAAGACTTCCAAAGGAGTACTTATTTCTAGGCATGGGAGAGGAACTCAGCACAATGGGATTTCCAAACACCAGCGGGTGAGTGAAGGGGTTAATGATTTCTGAGTCAGAATCGCTAGATTCTGTCCCACTGCTGGTGGATCCCTCCATCATCTGGATTGCAGCCATGTGATCCATCACGCTACTGGCATGCAGCGACTGCATGACTGGGCTCTGCTTTGATTGTGCCCCAGCTGGCATACCGTTGGCCATCATTTTGCCTTCTGGAGAAGACATCTTAGCCACCCCGTCTCCTTTACAATATCTCTCTGATCTATACTCCTGCCCAGGGGTTGAGGATATCTGGCTCAGGATAAATGGATCTGTAACTGATTTATTGCAGAGATTTGGAATTTTCTGTACACGAGGCTGTTGAGAACCTGGAGAATATCTGCTATACCCATGGCAGCTACTGGCATGGCTATCGTCCTCCCCAGTCCTCACCCTGCAGTCATGCCCATTTTCTGAGACATAACCCTGAGAGCCAGTTCTACTCAGGCTCACGTTAGGGCTTGACCCTTTGCTACTGGGAGGCAATGGAGTGGCCAGCGGACTACGGCTCCCTGGCCCTCTAAACATTTCATCAACCAGTGAGCTGTGCCTTGGCATCCTGGGGCTTCCCCCAGTGTAGAAGGAGAGATTAGCTGGGTTATCATCAAGGTACTCTTCAGAGAGATACTGCGAAGACTTTATAGAGGCTGAGGAATCCCTGTATCTAGTTCTATTGCGATTTTCATCTCTATAGTGAATATAGGCACCACTGGTCAAATCACCCTCATAATTGTCATTTGTTTGGGAATATGACCGGGTTATTTGTCCTCTGAGGAGATCATACTCGCTATCTACATCACTGCAGTCAATGAAAGGAATGGAGGTGCTGCTGCCATGAGCAGCCCTGGAAGCTGGACCTGTGCTTGGTTGCTGTGACTGAGGTCTGTTCTGCTGCATCCTGTCCTTAGCAGCCTCCTCTTCTTCCTCCACTGTTGACACCACTGCTCCATCCACCTTTCTGCCTTCCTTTGGGCTCTTCTTCAAGGAAGGGCTCCTGTGCTGTCCAGTGCCTTCTGTTGAAGCCTTCAATTCCTTCCCTTGCCGGCAGCTCTGCACTGCTGCAGCATCATTGTCATCTCCATAGGCAAAGCTAGAGCTCTGGAAAGATAAAGGAGGGAAGGCAAGGGGGAGACAAAGGGGAAGGGAGGGGTGGGAGGGCAGAGGTTTGGGAGGGAAGGGAGCCAGAGGGAAAAGGCTATGTGTAATTATGCACCAGAATTTTGCACTGCATCTTGTAGCAACATAGGAGTGTCTTGAAAGCAGAAGAGATAACCCCAGCTTCAAAATGAATTAGAAGAAAAAAAAAAAAGAGGTCTCTGATCTTAAGAACAGAAAAATCCATAAACTAAGCAAGGGAAGAGAAGGCAGACAGAATGTGGTGATATGTAAAAAGGGGTATATGAGGTGTTTCAATGCCCTAAGGCATCCATCAACACTAAGAACATCAACCTGTTTGCACTACTCTAAGAAGCTGGAGGGACAAAAAAGATAAACGCATAAGACAAATTTTGCACAGCCTACTTACATACATTAAAAAAAGTCATGTGTGGGCTTTTGAACACCCCACATTCAATCCCTGGAGCATACCTGCCACTAATTCCTGGGCTGGCTTTTCTGCACAGAGAAATATGCTGCATCTGCCCAGTAGCCATGCTCCATCTACCTGAGCTTGTCTTAGCAATATTAAAATATTAAAAGATACTTGAAATGAGCTGCATTTATAGCAGAATTCTCTGAAGTTCTTAAATTCGCAGGAATGAGAGAGCTTGTGAATATCAAAAGGAAGCAATGCTAGGAAGGTGAAGGTGCGTGTAGCATTCTTAAATACATTAACCTAGTAGCTTGCTCCTGCCATTTAAGCTTTACCTAATGTGAGGTTAGGTGATTAAAGGTTCGCCTCCACAAACACAGGTGAGCACAGAGAAACACTGGCAGGTGGAGCAACCCAGTCAGGGAAATGGAGCTCCCTAACCCAGCTGCTCTGGCGGCTGTCCCAGTAGAGCCATCAGCCCATGGTCTGGATGTGTCTGGGATGCCAGCAACTGGAGAGACCAGAGCACGTCCATATTGATTAGGTGGGTTGGTCAATGTGCAATTGCTAGCAAACATTAAACTGGACTAGTTGGCAAGTAGGGTAAGAGAGTTGGGAGCCAAGTACTGGAGCAGCCGCAAGTCAGGCCAGACACTGGAAAAGCCATGGGGCCTGGGGGTCAATTACTGGTAATGTCGTAAGTCTGGCCCAGCTATTGGAGAGACACCTTTGACGTGCATGTGTTTGTACGTGAGGGAACTGGGAACCAGGGTACCCAGCTGTCAGTTACTGGGTAGACTGGGTGTCCAAGATGAATTACTGGAGGAACCCATAGTGCGTGTGTGTGTGTGTGTGTGTGCGTGTGTGTGTAGATCTGAGTACCGACAATTGGAGTGGAGATGTGAGCTTTGGGGGCTTGTATGTCCAGTACTAGCTGCTGGGAGACCTGAGGATCCAGGGGCCTACGACTGGATAGACTGAGTGTCAAAGACTAGTTGCAGGAGGGATCCGTATCATATATATGTATACATATTTTCCACTAATGAACTTTCATCCTGATTAGCCAAAGAATGGAACAGGGTTAGGCCACTGACACTGTTTGTGCTTTTGGGAGTGCTGTTTTCTGTTTGTGTTTACCTGTGTGGCTGGCTGTGTGTATACGTATATATATATTGTACATGTGCATTTATGTGGGTGCCTATTGTGAATACACGCTCAGCCTTACTACTAGCTGGACCTGGGAATGTGCAGCTGCTGCAACCTCGCCACTATTGGGCTATTGGATTTGCAAACTCCTAACACATAACAGCTATTAACATAAGACAAATACATTGGGTATCTACCAAAGATAACAGCTTAAAAGTCCAGAGCTGTAATTTTTCTGAGGAAATAATTCTTCTCCTCCCTGGTTAATACAGCAAAACAAAACATCTTGTCATGGGCAACCAAGACCCCCCAGTGAAGGAAAAGAATTAAACTTTTCCCAGATGCAATAACCAGCTACAACCTAGGACCCCAGCAGTAACACTGTGGATTGCAGTTTTTCAGATGGTCATTAGTACAGCTCAGACAAGCTCACTATTTGTATTTGTCTGGTTGTCTGGAAGCAATTCTGCTCCACAGTGGAAATGAACCTGTTCCACTTACGGAACCTAAAACCTATGACACCCAGGGCTCCCAGTTAAATGGAAAGTGAGCAGAAAACTATGCTCCTAGAGTTTCAAAACAGCAATCGGTGGAGGGTAACGTAACAAGAAATGTTTAAAAGGCATGATCCAGGGTTTCATCAACATCACTGACTTGTTTTGGCACCTCTGTATGCTGTTCTGAAGGCTGTGCAGTCAGACTCCTGATGGAATGAATCTTGCTGTGTTTCCTGGAGAGAAAAGGAAAATCACAGTAAGACGCCATTTCAGTTTTTTCTACAAATAGAAATCAAGAGACGTGCCTCCTTTAAAACAAAACCTTTGAATAGCAGCTTTCATAAAAGTTTGCTCCAAAACAGATTAATGTTCCCCCTTTTTGTAAAATTTAAATGTGCTATGTGTTGCAAACATACCATTGTAAGAAAAGGGAGAGGCACTGTAGCAAAAATGGTCTATCACCAGAACATGAGTCATAAGCAATGAACTGTTGTCATGGTCTTTGTGGCATTTTGGCTGTTACTTTCAGCTCACCATGAGCAAGATGAGTTCAGACAGAACTGGCTCTAGCAAGTTGGAAGCCTTCCCTGGAGACCTCTCCCTTGAGGTTGGCTATACCTATTCCTGTTACTTTCAGTTTTATTCTGAGGTGAATATGTCTGTTCACATACATTAACCACATCCCACCGAAAAGGGTGCAAATTAATATGGGAGGAAGTTACCTGTGATGGTAGGACACTCACTGATGAAAAAACGATTGAAGACTATTGATTTTAAGTAAACTATAGGTTATGTCAACTTCTGCCAAAACATTCAGGGCCAAGGGGATATTATACAAGTGAAAAACCGTCAAACCGGCAAATAAGGAATTTTTCACTTGGACTGGTGCCAAGAAGAGAATATAACTAACTGGAAATCACGACTTTTCTTTGATTAAAACATATTGGAATAGTTCATTTATTTCCTCTCACCTTTCAAACTGCACTTTTTTGTGCCCTCCTTCTTTAACGTAGTCAAGAACTTGCTTCTGAGTCCGACCACTGGGAGAAAACCACAGTTAAAATATCAATCTGAGATACTGAATTTGCCACATTTAACACAATATACCACCTGGTCATCATAAACATGTATGTGGCCTGCGTATGAAGTCAGAGCAACCAGAAAAGTATTTGTCACTATCAGCAGAAACTCATGTAACATCATAAGTGGACCTGGTCAGATACAAACAGATTTTTATCATTTTGCCTGTTACTTACCTTTTTTTTTTTTTTTTTTTTTGCGCTACGGAGCTACTTTTTGATGCCATTTCAGAACTGCCTAAATTCAGTTGTCTGCCCTTTATTGGGTACTACATTACTGGGAAGTCACCACAATAGAAAGTTAAGCCATGATTAAGTTTTCCTCTCATGAACAAAGAACATTCCTGAATCCTTTTGAGAGTCAAATACCAGTCTTACCTGGTATTAGTAAACCCTGGAACCGCAATGAAAACCACTGAAATGCATTTCTTGACTCAGTTGCTAATATGAAACACATCAACTAAACATACATACATTTTCTGCAGAGATTTAGGCTGGAAATCACTCTCTCCCCTTCTGCTACAGGCCATGAAAAAGTAGTGAGAAAGCCCAGCACTTCATCACAGGCTTTAAACTAACTGAATTACCACAAGGCCTGGAAAAAGTTATTGAATCTATGCAGCACAGCTCACAGTGAGTAGAGGATGTAGCCAAAACCTGCTCTCCAAACCAGGAGGTTAAGTTGAATGCACCTACAGTCTTCTATTTACTCAGGCAGAAACTTAATGATTATAGCTTGTTTACCCTAACACAGGTTCTTCCATCTTACTTAATTTACTTTGCAGGCGGGAAACAAAGTGGAAAGAGAGAACGGCCATATCTACTATGTTCTTGTGCAAGGCAACTAGAGTGTACAGTTTATCTCAGCAAAGAGGGTTTCTGGCTGTTCAGCTTGTATCAGCTTCGCAAACAAAATAAACTGTATGAATAAAAGGATTTCCCACCCTGGCATACACAATATGACATCTACAATGAGGCTTCTGCCAGTGTAAGAAAAAAAACAATAACCCAACTATTAAAAACATTTCCACAGTTCTAAAAATATCACAGGCAAACTTGGTCTTAGCATAGGTGGTCATCTCATATAAACCCTTTGCAAGCATAAAGGTCTCAGCATAAAGACAAGCCATTGCTTTTAACTGCATAGAGATGGCTTTACCACAGGGACATGCAACGAAAATACAAATCTCTACTGTGATATGTAGGAAAGATCCCATCCTTGAAGCAGAGGATCCAAAGAGTGCCAGAAAGTTGGTAGCTAGTGTTGCTTAGGACACTGTGGATTTTCTTATGTGAAACCAGCTGGAACCTATATACTTTATATCTTACCTCCAGAAAGCTACTTTGCAACAGCTACTACAAAATGAATGCAGGCTCTAAAAAAAAGCTGAGAAGATGCAATGGAAAATATAAAGGAGCAAACTACAGTCTAAAAAAGGGGAGCTGAAAATAATAGATTTAATCCTAGTTCATTATGGATGTGATTTTGAAATGGGGAGACAAAAACGGTGGTCTTACCTGAACCTAAATGATGAACCTCTAGAAAAAAGAACGGGTTTAGGCTTTGGTTTAGGTTCCTCAAAAAGCCTGAAAAAGGCATGATGCTCCACACAGATCTTCCAGAAAGACTTGCAAAAATCTCGACTGGCCATAAGGAATTCCAGGGTGTCCTGGAATGAACTCTGAAAATTGAGATAGTATTTGCAATGTAAGCAAGCAAACAAAACACATTACAGAAATGCATCGACAAAGCAGGTGCTATGTACAAAGAAAAAAGCTTTTTCCCCAACTCACTGGCTTTCAGGCTTAACAGGCCTCATCCTTCCCACTTTGAGACATCACTGATCTGCCTGGCAGTATCAGAGCTATTGCTCAAATTTCGTTTCATTGACAAATATGACAGATAGAAAGCAGTGGTCTTAACATTAACGAGAAGAGATGGTTTACATGCTATAACTTAAGAATTGATGATATAGTACCAGAGTCGCAGCCAGAAGACAACTCCGTGACATTCAGTTTACATCTCCTTTGCTGGGACAGTTCACCTGAGATGCCAGGTTGGTATGTGCAGTACCAACAAGGAACATAAGCAATTAATTTAAAAAAAAAAAAAAAAAAAAAATCTTCTTGAGGTGATAAAAACCTATGTTTGATCTGTGAGTAGAAATTTACCAAATAACCTTTTGTCAACTTCATCAATTCCTGACAAGGACTTACATTCACATCAGGCCGTAGTTTGATAAGGAAACGTTTTCTCTTGAAGCTCAGCTTTCGAACCTTAGCCCAGTTGAAGGCATTGATCTTGGTGTGACCCTACAGAGAATAAAGCCAGAAAAGTTTAAGCATTCCAGATCTGAATGGAGAAATCTAAACCACTAAAGAAAGCTTGTCATAAATTAATCACCTATTCACTTCACTTAAAATTATGATATTTCTTACCATTCATCCTCTGATAATGCAAACCACAAGCATCTGGTGTGACGGAAGACAGGTACTTATGGTTAAACTCCTGCATATTTATAGGACTAGGTATACTGAGTTGATGTGAAAGTATCTGACCCAGTATCACTGCACAAAACAAGGTGGCCCAGCTTTTGCCCAGATCACGTTATCTTGTTCCACTATGCAGACTCTGATTTTCAGTGGACTAAGTCCCCTCCCAGAGGTGCCTCCTTGTCTTTCTACCAGCTTTCTACAGAGAATGCACGGAATGCAGACACCTAACATGGTCACCTCACTTTGACGGTGTAGATTTCTTTCCCCTTTGTCTGTCTACAGGGCAAAATAAACACCCCTTTAAATATTACTTAACTGGGGGGAAAAAAAACAGCAACTGAAAGTTTTGTATTGGAAGCGCAAAATACTGTTGAGTATTTTGACCTTTCATAGGGAGCAACAGAAGTAAAAGGAACCCAAATAAATTACTTGTATCTGAAGAGTTACAAAATGCTTTTCCCCCAAAAAAGCAACCAAAAAACCAGAAGCAAACAGGAAGCCTGAGAGAAATTATCTTCAATACTACAATTCTCAGCCATTGCTTCATCAGCCCCTACTCCCCAGAAGGCTCGTTATTAATCTATGCGTGCTGGTTTTGGCTGGGATAGAGTTAATTTTCTTCATAATAGCTAATATGGGGCTATGGTTTGGATTCGTGCTGGGATACAGGGGTGTTTCCGTTATTGCTAAGCGTGCTTACAGAGTCAAGGCCTTTTCTGCTTCTCACGCCACCCCACCAGCGAGTAGGCTGGGGGTGCACGAGAAGCTGGGAGGGAGTGTAGCCAGGACAGCTGACCCAACTGGTCAATGGGATATTCCATACCATATGACATCATGCTCAGCATATAAAGCTGGGGAAGAAGAAGGAAGAGGGGGACGTTCGGAGAGATGGCGTTTGTCTTCCCAAGTCACCATTACGCGTGATGGAGCCCTGCTTTCCCGGAGATGGCTGAACACCTGCCTGCCGATGGGAAGTAGTGAACGAATTCCTTGGTTTGCTCTGCTTGAGTGCGCAGCTTTTGCTTTACCTATTAAACTGTTTTAATCTCTGCCCATGAGTTTTCTCACTTTAAACCCCCATCCCACCGGGAGGGAGGGAGGGAGCGGCTGTGTGGGGCTGAGTTGCTGGCAGGGGTTAAGCCATGACGCTATGTTAGAAGGTATTGGAGGTATTATTTTAAAATATTCATTACAGTAGTTTGTTCAGCAGAAACTTCAATACAAACATGCCTACAGCACAGAAGTTTCAGAGAGCTACTACAGGATTGCTAAATGCAGAAACCCATGTTGATTTGGGCACCCTCACCAGACGGACGTAGGAGCAATGACAGTGCTTATCAATGATCTCTGCTAAGTCAACCTGCTGTCTAAGAATCACATAATTAATCTCCCTTAGAATATTCAGCAGCACTGACACCGATTTCTAAATAAACAGCAGGCTTTAAAATAAGTCTGAGTACTGCTTATGCCATTTGTGAGTGAACCTTTATTTTCCTTGAGGTAATTCTAATGAGGTCTTCATATTTCAATTTCTCTCAGTTATATATCGAAGGAAGCCCTAAGCCTACTGCCAGATGCCAATTGCTGAGCAGACTCCAGCAGGTCAGAGCCTGACTTCCTTTTCAGTCTTGGAGCTTGATCCAGCAAAATTTCCAAGTTTTTATGAAAATTCCAAAAAAATCCGGTTTTGAAAGTCCCAAACACATTAGGACAAGAAGAGATGACTGAGTTTTGGAGTTTTACAAATCAGGCCTTGAGCCTTCAACCAGCAGCTACATCTTTAGAGAAGGATCCCAGCTGTCTGCTGGGACTCGGTGAGGTCCATGCTGTTTTGTGTGGACACATACCTTCAGCTGTAAGACAGTCTTAATTTATAAGGCTTTGTAATTCATTAATTCAGCTGATGAAAACACTGTGGAGGAGCAGGGGAAGGGCCTGAATATACTATTATTTGAGTTATGTGCATTTCTAACAACTGGTATTCTCATGCTTCAAGCTATGCTTCAGTTTTGGGGTTTTACTAGCAACCCATTTAGTTGAGCAGGGTTTTTTAATTTTTTTTTTTTTTTTTAATTTAGATCTGAGTATTTGGGTCAGACATATTTCAGGGTTTGTTTGCTGCTGTTGTTTTTCTTTATAAAAAGACTCAAAGTACTTTATAAGGTTGGAAACACTAGTATTTTAACTGAAGTCAAACAGTTAAAATGAATAGTCTTTTCTGACAATTGTAAAAATGGACATTTTAAAGAACAGTTTACTTACTGTTTTTAGCACACAGTGAGGTAAGTAGCATTTTGGATGCTAGCAGACATAAGTTCATCTGAAGTGAAAAGCAGTTTACACCAGCTGACTATCTGTACCTTCACAACTGTAAAAGCCCAATTTGTTACTTGCCTAAGGGGAACTGCAGAACAAGAATTTGATAAATTTACTAATGATGCTTCACGAACATTTATTAGGCTGACTGGGGTAGGAGAGGAGAGGAAAGAAATGTAAGGAAAATACTTCGGATCTTTTATGGAAAGAAGTAAGATTCATGGATACAGCAAAGGTAGAATGGCCAAGGCTGGTCACGAAAACCGTAAAAACTCTGACAAAGTAACGCTACGGCGTGCTTACATTTACTTTCTACATCCTTCTCCATGTACTCCAGTTGTCTGTTGTTTTATTTGTCCCTGCTTAACACCCATGTATTATACACCATGCCTGCAAGACCTACCTGCTCCTATATGTAGGAGGTGTCAGCATGACCAACTTGCAAATTGTGAGCTATGGATCAGTTTGGATCTTGAACAGCACATTGTGGCTGCAGATGGAGTTCTACTCTGTGCATGCAAACAAGGTAAGAGTCCCTGGAAGTGAAGGACCTAATGCAGCTATAAAAGGTTTAAGGTTTGTTAGAAAAAATATGGAAATTCCTGAATTTTCCCAACCAAATTCTTTTAGACATGGTTGAGGTCCTGAATTCTTATCGCCGTAAGAAATCTCTCTGCTTTATAAAGTACAAAGTCATGTTCTGAGCAGCTCTAACCTGAAACACCAGAATGCCTGTGTTGGCAACAGCCAGGTTGATTTTTGTCCCTTCCCTGTCCTTGGCTGGATGCAAGCGTATTCCATACATCTCCAGCCGACGGGCAATCTCCAGAAGCTGGAAGTCAGACTCTGCTGGTGTCTGTCCCCTTCAGAAAGAAAACAAAGAAGACACACAAATTCTTCACACCTTTTAATAGAGATCAACAGGTCCTCCAGAGAACAAAGAGACATTTCATCAAAAAGACTGAAACCTGTCAGAGGTATAATATCCATATGGATTTTCTATGTCCCCAGATTTATATCAGCTAGAACAACAACTTTATCTTAGTCTAAACCAATACCAAAGAATCCACAGATTTTATAGTCTATTAGAAATTTAGATCGCTCCAAAGAATTCACTACCTCTGTATTTTCCATTGGAAAAACATGCTATATTCCTAAAAAAAAATCATAAAGAGAAGCATGTAAGGATGTTGTTCACTGTAAAAGTGAATGCAATACCAAAATGAAGTAAAACAGAAGACATGAAAACATTAACATAAATGTTGGGAACCCATAAGCACTAAATTGATCATGATGAAATTACGCAAAAGTTTTCATTATTACTGCTATAGAACTCCCTACCACTCATATCTAATTCAATGTAGCTCAAAATGAAATCGCTCAAGTCTTGAAGTGTTCTTGACAGTAAAACAATACCTTTCTATGCCTTATTTGTAATTCTTTTAACCATCTTCTTACTACTAGTCTTTTCTCCAGGCCTTAGGATACGAATTTGCATCATCGTCTTGAATCCTATTCCCCCAAATCCGTAATTCTGCAAGCACTTCACACTTTTCCTAAAACTATCATTAAACCCCTTCTTCACCCATCTCTAAATAGAGCATGGAAAGGTGAAAAAGCAACATTCAATGTCCTTGAAATCAAAAAGACTGCTGTCAGAAGTGCCTGACTGATCAGTCATCATTTGCAATCATACCTGCATGCACAAAATCAGCAGTGAAGCATTTCGTATGAAATAGACTGTAAAATAATGGCATGCTTGAATGAATATCAAAATCAATTGCTCTTTAAACATCTTGTTATGATGACAGGAGAAAGGCAGAAGTAACCTTCAGGAAATTCATTGAACATTTTTTGAGAAGTAACCTTTGAGAAACTCAGAGGTCCAAATCTCTTTTGTACTTACGATCTAGCATATATTTACAGTTAGAACTACTCTAAAGGAAAAGAAGGCCAATAACAAGAACAAAAAAGTCTTACATGTGACTACGGTGAAATTCCATGATTTTGTCTTCTAGTGCTTCTTGATGAGGTATATACTTGTTCTTCGCTAAGTGTTCACGATCTATGGTTTCATCAAAATCCCCAATCTCAGCTATGGAGAATTTTAAGAAAAGTCTATTAAAACATTGTATTACATCTGAATTATTCGGGCAATCCAGAAGGTGCAGACAGCTGGGAAGAGGGCAGAGAAGCAAACATAGTTTCTTGCAAGCTGCGTCATGGTTTTATGATTCAGATTCCCACTACGTTATCTTCCACACTTTCCTCCCTTCTCCTCTGTTTAGTATCTGATATGTGAGAAGCAGCTGAAGGATTCCTCCCATCCACCACAATCAAGTAAGTAGCTGTTGGATGTCAACTGAACAAATGAAGTCATCACAGTGCTCCCTTGACTTGTGTGCGGGATAAGGCGGGGGAGGTGACAGGGAGGACAGCACTAATTCAGCAGAACGCATCCATCTCTCTCACATGCATGGTGGTGCTCAGGTGCCTTTCCCTGGAGCAGCCAAGCACAAGCTTCCTCCCCAGGCCCATCCCCACATCATAATCTTCAGGGGAAAATCTGAAGAGATGGTTTTGTTTGCTTGTTTGAATCCAGCCACGTATTCCACCTCATGGGGTTATGAAACATTTGTCTTCCTCTAATTTTGCAGCAGTTTGAGACACATTCTGTCTCCCTCCTCCTCAAAGTTGCTCCCATCTGCTGCAGTTATTCAATACCGCGTGTGCAACAGTATGTCACACCCACCTTCCATTTTGCAGCCCATTCAGTGAGATTTCCTTTTTTTTGGGGGGGGAAGGGGCAGACAATCTATGTGTGGGTGCCAGATTACTATCTTGTTGCCTGCTATTCTTGGAATGCCTCTGAAAATGTTGCTATTAGCTTTTTCACTGAACAGCGTAGCAGCCTCTGCCTGCAAACCTGCTGGAATACAACAACGGCTGCTACCTTAATAATGTCAGTGAAATTAAAACGCAGTGCCCTCAAATTCAATCCAGGTTGCAGTCAGACACGTTGCTGCACAGTTGACCTAGGATGTCACAGACACAAGCTCAGATCCTTGCCTCATTCTCCCCTCAGTTCCGCCCATGTAAATGACCTTTTAATCCAGTTCTGTCCAAAATAAGCTGGTTTGGAAAAAAGAAAGGTTTCGGATGATGTTTAAAACACTGCGGGTGTTTCTGACAAAAGTTTGCCTGGGATCAGATGTACCTGCAAATGCGGATGGGGAGCAATAACCTTGCGTAGGCAGGGAAGATGAGGACCAAAGCATCTATGAAATGACAGAGCAGTAACCTTTCAACCCAAACTGCCTGCAGCCACACGATGACTTTTTATACTTTGGAGGTCAGAGGTGGAAAACAGTTGATAACTGAGACTGACTGATTTCCACCCCCTCCCTCATCCCATCTGCTCTGAATCTTTCCTTGAGACAGTAGAAATACTACAGAATCTTTGAGAATTCTCCTTTGTAAAATGTCGCTTTTGCCCCCCCTCAGAAACAGCTCCCTCACTCCAGTTTTACTCGCCCCAGCGTCACAAATCTTTAGGGTCTGTTTTTAATCCTAACTCAAATGAAAGGCAAATTTCTTTTCTTTAATGAAGCCAGAAGCCCACCTAGGTTTGCAACACCTCAAATAACATGGGCCTTGAGTCTTTAAAATGCAGTTCATCCCCTGTATGTCCTTGTACACGGACGGACTTAAACCACCTTCAGAGCCAAGAGTACAGAAGACTCTTATTTCACCTCTACACGATTTCTATAATGTTCTCTGCATTTTTCAACTGCAAATCCATTATCAAAATTCTCCTCCTGGCTTTCAAATTACTTCTGAATTTGTTCTCTCTGACCTCATATGCAACAGCTTTTCCTTCTCTCCTTCGCCCTCCTTTTCCACCTTACAAGCCTGTCTAGTACCACTCCCTCTAGAAAGAGAGGGAGTTATATTTTGAATAGTCAGCCTCACATATAACTCTTCTTTAAAATCTTCTCATGTCTTTTAGCCGAAGATTGATTTCCACCAATGCTCCCTCTTCTTTTATATTGCAAGTCCATTACACCACACTGTATTCTGTCTGCATAACCACTTCTGATATACCTGATGCTTTGTATTTCAGCTCTTTTCCTTTAATCAGTCCACCTTCTTACTTCACACACTCACTTTACTGCATCATTTGCAGTTTCTGAGTGTCCTCTCACTTCTAACATTTTCTACAATGCTTTGAAGGTATTTTTAAATAGGATGTTTCAAATACAAATTTCATTCTGTAATATACATGCTAATTTAACAGAAATCTATTTGCTGTCATATTATTTCATATAAATGACAATCTATAACATTGACATAAGCTTGTATACATAATAGAAGGGCCTCCTAGAATCAGATATCCCCCATAGAAACCGCTCGTAAGTACAGCATCGATAAGACATACAATACCTAATCTCCTGCATTCTCAATCTTTCCACTTTGCTACCATCATTCTTATCAGCTGTCAACTTTTATTTTTGTTGCAGAAAAATACATTTTTTTTTTTTGCTACTGAATAATAAGCTAGAGAGAAAATAAATACAAAAGACAGCCATGTGGGTAAGATACAACTATAGACTCTTATCAGAGAAAGTTTTCACAGAAAAATATTCACGAGACATAAGATGGATAAACAAATGAGACAGTCGCAAACTTCTAGCAGAGGCTTCTAGCAAACACTGTTACACAAAAAAGGGAGAGAGGAAAAATCATAAACAGCAAAAAAAAGGTCCAGCCTGCAGTCAGGAGATGGCAAGGGAAAGCAACACTGCAGGTGCACCACGAGGCACAACATCCCTCTGCCCAAAATGGCAGTTCAGTTTCTGTGAATACTGTCTCACTTCTGCATGATGAATCTCTCACCTCTCTACTTCTGACATGATGGAAAAACTCCATTTTTCAGTACAGAATTATCTTACCTTACTCTCTACATAAGGAGAGTACTACTTGATTCCTAAAATCCCAGTTCAGAATCACTCTGCACCTCTAAGCTCACAGGTAAAGGGGACAAAGAACTAGAAAGATTTCAAATGCATTATGGTCATTTCCAGCAACTGAGGAAAATTATTTAATCCAACAGTATAATGCATCTCAGCAGCATAAGAGCAATGGTGGTAATTTGCCATTTTTGCACACTTTGAAATGAATGCTTCTTGCCTGCATAGATGTGTCAGGGAGAATGGCCAGGTGTATAATGAAGGAATTTTGAAAAAACACTTCAAAACACTTTGAGTTTGACTGTGGGAAGAAGGGAAAAGGAAAGGGACAGCTTGTAAAGGTGAAAGGACATCCTGTATTTTATCCTCTTATGCTGTTGCTTTAGGAAAACAAGCTAGCAGTTGCACTCTGAGCAGTTCAGACACCAGAGCTGTAGATGGTTCAGTGAAGAACTTAACTAAGTAAAATCAGTAAGAGATCAGTAAGACATGAAACAGGATCTAAGTAGAAATCATAAGGAAAATAAAGCGTATAAAGTATAAGAGCTCAAGAAAGGATGATCATGAAGCAACACCTCAAATGAAGAGAGACACATGCATTAGGGTGTCCTCTCCCCAACATCCTTCTTTGGTGCAGAGACATTTAGTAGGAAAACTCACCCTCCTAGAATGCAGTGTAACAAATAATACTCAATTTCCCCCAAACAATCAAGACTTTTTTCCCTGAGATGAAAGGAAGTTAGAACTAGCTTAACCAAGAAAAGAACTACAGTTGGTATGCTGGACACGGTAACGGGAAAAACTAAAAGACGCAAAAGCTCACTAGGCAAGGATTTATTTATTTATTTATTTAAAGTCTGTGCCGCAGAAATACTCAGTTTTAAAACGGTGTGAGGAATACAGAATTTCACAGAGGCTGTTGTACAGCGTCTTATTGCTACTTATTGCTACTGGGCAATGATGACCACGGCAAATAGAAAACCATGCAATACCTGCCTTTCCAACAGCAACTGATGAGAAACTGCCCTAACACTCAGACTATGACAAAGGATCATGAGATTTATCTATTCATCTCTGAAGAGCTTTTGAACATCTTTTTTGACTGAGATTTCCATACAACAGCATTTCAGTGGAAATATGCAATACTGAATTTTACAATGACCATTCAAAACAATGGTCTATTATGACCATTATACATGCTACTAAGTAGTTTTTTCCTAACGTTATTCTCAAGATGAGTATCCATAAAGTCTTGAAATGGAAAACATATGCTGCCTTTCAAGTGATCTGGAAGCTAAAAGAAGGTTTGATGTAATGAACAAAGTTAATGTATGATTCTACTGAACAGTCTTATTGTGCATACTTTGCATTAAAAAAAAAAAAAAGTTTAAAATCTGCTGGGTTTTTTTCCCCTATCAGTTTCCTCTTAGGACTGTGATTTAGTCTGGCATTCTAAGCATGTTTATTTACTACATTCTCTAGACAGCATACAGATCTCCAGGAATTTGAATGCTCTGGTGACATGACACAAAGTATAATAAAATAGGAATTCAGGAGATGAATTCAACCTGTTTGCCACTGCCTGCAAAGTTTGCTTTTTAAATGATCCTAGGCTGACTATCAAATGCAGTGCTTTAAAAATGCAAATCCAGTGTCCAGAAGCTCTGCTTTATTTGAAAAAGTAAATTACCTGTATTTGAATACCATTATACAGAAATACAATAAATTGTCCATATGGCCTAAACCTGTCCCTATGGCAGCTACTACCCAGCAAAGCATGTCCAACCAATCAACCTGTTTATCCTCCTGGAAAGAAGAAAAAAGGGAACTTACACTGTACTATGTGTGAGATTAAGAGGGCAGTGCTGGTATCATTACAGGTTAGCCTTCCCTGTGCCAGGTCCTGCTTCACTTGCAATGCAAATAGGTACCTGCAAAACAAAAGTGAACAAAGAGTTACACAAAGCATGAGGGACAGAGGGGAAAGTATTTCAAGGCCAACTCTGGTTTTGCCTACATGTTCCTTTCACTTTTTGGAATCTACAGAAGTGATCTGAATTTCCTAAGTTTAGAGGCTAAATAAAACATAACAGATACTGTATTACAGCCATTAGAGTCTTACATGGTGGCTGCTTTGCAGAACTGAGATATCCCTCTTTTTCTCTTTTCCTCCCTGTCCTGGTTTTGGCTGGGATAGAGTTAATTTTCTTCCTAGTAGTTGGTATAGTGCTGTGGTTTGGATTTAGTATGAGAATAATGTTGATAACACACTGATGTTTTAGTTGTTGCGAAGTAGTGTTTGCAGTATCAAGGACTTTTCAGCTTCCCATGCTCTGCCAGGTGCACAAGAAGCTGGGAGGGAGTGTAGCCAGGACAGCTGACCCAGCTGGTCAACCATATGACATCATGCTCAGCATTTAAAGCTGGGGGAAGAAGAAGGAAGAGGGGGACGTTTGGAGAGATGACATTTGTCTTCCCAAGTAACCGTTAGGCGTGATGGAGCCCTGCTTTCCTGGAGATGGCTGAACACCTGCCTGCCAATGGGAAGTAGTGAATGAATTCCTTGCTTTGCTTTGCTTGCGTGCACGGCTTTTGCTTTATCTATTAAACTGTCTTTATCTCAACCCACGAGTTCTTCTCACTTTTAGCCTTCCGATTCTCCCCCCCATCCCACCTGGGGGGGAGTGAGCAAGCAGCTGTGTGGTGCTTAGTTGATGGCTGGGGTTAAACCACGACACTCCCTCTCTTTGAACCAGAGCAATGAGATCTGGAAGCGATACAACAGTGGAAGCAAATGTGACAGCTATTAAGTGCTCCGCAACTGCACAGCAAGTGGCACTAGATATGGAGCTGCTTGTAACTATGAAGAAATGCCAGTTAAACCAGTGAGTTATCAGTTAGTTCTTGCAGAACACAAGGAGAACTCTAGACTTCCACCCTGGCACCCACCTGGAAATGAGGAGCAAGATCTTGGTCGAACAACTCTAGCTAGCTCTGATACTTTTGTGGCCCCGTTACCTGCACTGCCTGTGCATCTGCCATTTTTAACATATTCGCTTCCAAACCACATCAGCCACGTAGGGCAACTCTACACAGACTGTTTAAGTGCAGAGACATCACAGGTCCATGACATTATTTCAACATTTAAATTTCTTCTAGCTTCAATAGGAATTGAAATTGCTTAGTTCTACTCAGCATCAAATTCTTCCCTAGAAAAAAATTACCTTGCAGTAAGCATTTCTGCTACAGTTGGTATGAAACCTGAACTAGTTAGACACCTTAACGAGCCTTCCAAAGACTGCAGCTCCTCTGGAGAACTCATACAAGGATCTCAATAGTTTTTAATAATCATAGAATCATAGAATCA